CCATCAAGAAAATTTTCAATTATTCTGGATCACTGAAATCGCTAGAATCGCTAGAGTCTTCATCAACATTGATAATAAGTGGAAGAACCTCTTGCCTGTCCATTACTTGTTCTCTGTTATACCACTCATCAATTATTCCTTCTATCTTACAGAATTTTTCCACATTTCAGGGGTAACAGTTTCCAATGCCTCTCGCCACATTTTTAAACAAGCATCTTGAGTATAACCAACCATCTCTGCCAATATGTCGGTTATAATAGTTTTTTGCAATTCCCCAAATAAGTTCAATCGGGTTAAAAGTACAGTGGTATGGAGGTAGTCGTACTGTTCTGCCAAGTCATCTACCACATACTTTTTTGTTGGTTTATTCCTGAAAAAGCAATACTTGAAAAGTTGAGCATGAAATGCATACAATTTCGGTATTGTAGGTACCTACTTACCGTGCAACAATGATCGCAAGTTCAGATTTCAATGCTGTATTTGGATACTCAACTTTCTATTCGGTTAACCAATTTTGAATTTCAGCCTTAGTAGACGAACTATTGGGTGTCTTCTTTAAAAAAACATGCTGTGGTAAGGAGCATTGTCTATAACAATAACAGATGGTTCACTCAAGTTCTTCAACAGCTGATTTTTCAACCAACGTGAAAAGTTTTGCTGATTCATTTCCCCATGATAGTCGTTAGGTTGAGTTTTCGATGAAAATACCAGCGATGCACCTTCAATGAATCCATTTTCATTGCCAGCATGAAATATGATATATCTGAAAAAAGCATTTTATATTACAACTGCTCTCTGCATTCATGTTTATATTCACCTTTTACCATCCTTTGGTAGTTTTAACAATTCGCTTGTTGTTGTCTTGCCACGAGCGGTTAATGGTACCATTTTGAAAAATCCAAGTCTCGTCCAGGAAAACAAACTGGTACAAAGCCTCCTGTTCCAGTCTTAGATAAGACCTCAAAAATGATATGCGTTCATACGATTTACTTTTTGTATACATATCGTGCGTAAATAGTGTTACGTATAGAACTGCTATCAAGCTTTGAAACATCACAAACTCTCTTCGAAGTGCATCGCTTCTTAGAAGGCGATTCCAAAACTTCGTTATTTTTGACTGCCTTTGAAATAGCACAGACTGTGGACATACTTAAGTTCAAAGCCTCTGCTACGCGCTAAAAATGAGAGAAAAAATAAGTTCAAATTGAAAATTCCTATTTGATCACACGACATCAACGACTTGTAAACTCACCTTCCTAACAGCATTTAAGGGACATAAAGGGCCATTATTATCGCGTTCCCGTTCGAAATATTGTAACAAGGATCCGATTAGTTCTTTGCAACGGCTGTTGAGCTGCTTCGGCATCTTGTACACTTCGCCCTACAAGCTGCTTTTGAAAACTAGCTCACAATTAATAGCACTTGAACCAAAAACTCGTAAAGTGTCAAAACGCAATCAAAATTCAAAATGTCAAGAATTTAATTTGGCAACATTACATTTTTTGAAGTGGTGTTACCAACTGAATGGCCAGCGGGAAATTCAAATTCCAATTAAGTCAATCCGACGCCGAATATTTTCACGGTTGGCGATAACGATTTTAAAAATGGCGTCATCGATGTCACAACTACAAGTTTATTTGGTTTTTGGTTTGAACTATAGTTACTGCGCTTTATTTATAGCGCTCCTAACTTCATAGTGATCGGTGCGTGCCAAGGGCCACAGCCGTTGAAACCGCTCAGTGAGCGTAACGTCCCAAATTCCGTAACCTGGAACGCTCAGTCTCAGCGGCTGGCGATTTCGCTGAGCGGAGAAATCTTATAGTCAACCATCCAAGGACCTTTTTTTCAGTTATACATGTAAACCCCATACTTTGTGAGTGGCTTGCTTACATCAAGTCCTACAACTTTTCCTCTACGACTTTTCTCGGAAATGGCACGTATGCGCGCAGGCGACTCGCAAACATGTCGATCTGACGTAGCTATGTTTCCTGATACATGTAGGTAAATCTAATTTTACGAATACTGTTTGATTTTTATGTCTAAATCACGGAAATCAACTTGGCCGACAAAAATAATGGCAAATTGGGGGAGTCCGATACCCCCAAAATGTCGATCTGACGTGGTTATGTTTCTTGATACATGAAAATCTAATTTCACGAATAATGTTTGATTTTTATTTCTAAATCACGGAAATCAACTTGGCCGACAAAAATAATGGCAAATTGGGGGAGTCCGATACCCCTAAAATGTTTGCGAGTCGCCTGCGCGCATACGTGCCATTTCCGAGAAAAGTCGTCGAGGAAAAGTTGTAGGACTTGATGTAAGCAAGCCACTCACAAAGTATGGGGTTTACATGTATAACTGAAAAAAAAGGTCCTTGGATGGTTGACTATTACGCTCACCGCCGTCAAAATGGGTGTGACATGCGCACAGCTGCTGTTTTTGTTTCTCTGGACATAAGCTCATTTTAATTTCCTGGTTTTTGGCAGTTTTTAAAGTCGTCCGGTTGTATAATGTGGAATCACTTCTTCATTATAATCATGATTTCTTATGGCTGGAACTTTAGGGAGACCGGAAACCCACTAATTAGCAGGCTGAAATAAGTTGTTTAAAACTATCCTCCGTTCTAACAGCTCTTCAACAGCATAAAAGTGGCACCAAACCAAAGAAATTACAAATAATAAAATAAATTACCGTACCGAAAACATGTAAACAAAAAAAGCTGTGGGGACAGCTGACAGTAAGCGCCGAAAAATTTAGCGGAGCGTTACAAGCGCTCACAACTGTTGAGTGTGAGCCTTTTCCTGCTCAGTTCAGCAGCTTAGTTACTTGGAACGCGCCCAATTGAGATAGTAATAAACGTGACCTAATATTTTTGTAATTTGACAATTTTTGAAGTTGAAATATTTTGGAATAAAGGTCATATCTTTACCATCTATAGTCCTCCTGGTATAAATCAAATACAAAAGGCCTTTACGGCAACGCTGAACCGATTATTGATCCATTGAGGTAGGATAGGCCCGATCACAGAGGCTGTTTGTTTTGCACCTTTCTTCAATGAACACGATTGAAAACAGACAAATTACAGCAGCTGGATGATCGCGGTAAGCCATTGTGATCGGATCAGCATTTTTGTGAAGGCCTTTGGTGTTCCAAGACTATGTAAGAGTTTGCGGCTCCAGAATTGGTTTATATAACCATCAAGAAACCCACAATCGATGAAGAATAGAATAGAAGAGAATCATACTCGAGTGATTGCCTATGATGATGATGATGAAAGGCCTAATCTGTATTAATTCCATAATTAGCTAATATCTAACTCAAAACGTTTCTCTCTGCGATTTTGTGCAACAAAAGAAACTTTTTTGTTTCATAACGTCAAAAATGTAGCAGTATGTCTCCATTTCCCGTGACGTAAATTTACAGTAGGTGTAAGAATATTTTACAGCGCGATGTAAGTTACAGAATTCCTTTTTTGTAACATCCTTACAGCTCTCAAAGTTGCATTCCTTACAGTACGTTACATCGCATACAGAATCGCACCATTAGTTTTAGCTTGCTTGATTGTTAAGGTGTTATTATGTTTCTATTTATCTTTAGGTACAGCTTTGTTACTAAGATTATGTCTTTACAACAATAAAGCTTATTTTGATTTGATTTGATTTGATATGCGATGGGAAGATCACTACCAATATGTCCTTGTTAAAAGACTGCTCCTAAAGCATAAAAAAATAAAAAAATAAAAATGGTTTATTAAAATCCGGATGTTGCAAAATTGGGTCGTTCATCAATATGTTTTTGCATGTCTCAAAGCTTTTCACAAATTCGGCATCATGTATGATTTTCTTATCTTTCTTTAAACATGATGTTGATGGTTTCCAAAAGTCTGATTATCAAAATCTGTCCTGAATTGGAAAGGAATGCTCAGTTCATCATTAAGAGTTTACAAGGTGGGTCTGTTGTTTGTATGAAAGGAAGTTGGTTTATTTGGTATGAATTCAAATTCAAAGCTGATTGTTGTTCGAGGCTGTTGTCTGAAAATTTTAATTTTCAAGGCTTTCTTGAGATTCTTCAGAATTTTGTTATGATTGACATTCAAAATTATCATTTTGTTCACAAAAATCTGTGCTTTCTTCAGGGTTTGGTAATTCTAATTCGAATATGTTGGTAATTTCTTCGATTGTATATCGAGAGGGTCCAGCATTTGGGTCTAATCTGAAATAACTATGTTGTGAAGCTATTTGTTTTCGAGGTTGAATAGAAACTCCTGACATCGGTGTTGGTTTCTGAAATTGTTGGTTGCTGTTTTTCTTGAAAGCATTAAAATTTTTATAATCTTTTCCAAATGTTCCAGAGCTGGTAGGAAATTTGGGTTGATAATTAGGTTTTGATTGGACATTTATCGGTTGCGATGCAAATTGTTCTTTCTGTGTAAACTTAGGTTTTTTTGTAAATGCTTGTTGTTGAGTATTATTATTGAATTTCTTGAAATGAGAAACATTTTGTGAGTTATTTTGATTATTAGAAAATCCTTTAGTAAATTTCATATGATTTTCCGCAAGATGATAATTTAATATGTACTAATATTGTTGCGTCATCTAATGTTTTAAGGTTTTGGTCCATCAAAATTGTTCTCAATTCGGAAGGTGTCACTAAATTTTGTACAGCAATAATTTAATTTTGCTCTATTAAAATGTTAGCAACTGGCAATAAATTTCGACCACACATAATTTTAGTTGTTATTCTGTGCATTCATTAATTTCTTCAATTTTTCAAGATATTCCATTATTTATTCTTTATGATTAGTTTTACACGTAAACGTGAGTTCTTGTACGCAATTCTGTTGAGAATATGGCTCTCCATATTTCAATCTAAGTGCATCTTTAATGTCATCCCATAATTTAAGATCAGGGCGAGACATAAGAAAATTGCCTGCAGGATTTGAAATATATAACTGAGGTCTGCCCACAACTATTATTAATGTTTTGTTTTGTTTCTAGGCAGTAAAGGTATTAAAAGAAAACCAAAAGGGGTGGAAGAGGAAGACATTGGTGAATTTCCTTGTTCCTTGTGCAGCGAGTTTTATGATCGAGTCAGTTTGCTGGATAAACATGCTAAAGAAGTTCATCCTGGGCTTAAGGTAAGTGTGCTTGTTTTCCTAAAGGCTCCGATTTATATTTAAATCCTAATAATTGTTCGTAGGTTCACAAGTGCAACATCTGCGGTAAAGATTTCAGACGTCCCAACCACTTGAAACGTCACTTGTCCTCTCATTCGGAAGATAAACCATTCGTCTGCGACATCTGTACAAAGAGCTTCGTGCGAAAAGATCATCTTTTGCAACATCAAAAGTTACACGACCAACAAGAGGAAATTCCTTGCGACATTTGCGAAAAACCTTTCAGCAGGGCGGATCATTTGGCAAAACATAAAGCGGCCAAGCATGGAATTGGAGAAAAAATGACTGTGAGTTTATCAATAAATGTCTGCTGCATAAGTGTCATAAATACCCCATCATTTTGTTAAAAAATAAAAATGATGTTTTATGGTATGACTAGAGAATAACAGAAAAGCTGAGGGGAGTTTTTCGCAAGTATAGATTATTCCCGCGATCGTTTTCTAACATAATTATCTGTACAATATTTTTTCTTATGCTTCTTTATTAACTTCAATCCGTTTTCTTAGATTATGGGTGAGAAAAAATTCTATTGTGATATTTGTGAGAAAGGTTTCACAACTGAAAAATACCGAGACGTCCATATGAAGGCGCACAATGGTGAAAAGAAGTACCATTGCAAAGTTTGCGTGAAGTCGTTCCTATCGAAATCGCATCTAAACGAGCATATGAAATTCCATAACGAACATTCCAAAAAGTTCCTTTGCTCCGAATGTGGCCAGAGGTTTATTCGCAATGATTATTTGGTTATTCATATGAGGCGGCATAGAGGAGAAAAACCGTTCAAGTGCAAGTTTTGTGGAAAAGGTATGATGAATAGATAAACGATTAAAAATTCCTTATTTTGATATATAGATGTCATGAAATAACCCCATCATTTTCCTATTGATGAAAATGGTGTTTTGTACCATGACTAAAATAATTGAAAAACTGAGGGGAGTTTTCCTTTCTTTGCCTTTAGACATACTCCCATAACCATTTCTAACATGTCCTAGTAGTTTTCAACATGACTAATGCTTCAAATTGTTTGTCTTATAATTGAATAAAATCTATAAGAAATTGTTTAATTTAATTTTTTTCCCTCTTAGGTTTTCCAAGGACCACAGATCTTACAGTACACGAAAGATATCACACGGGTGAAAAAACTCATCTATGCACCGTTTGTGGCAGAGGATTCGGAAGGTAATTAAGTGTTTACAATGTGATTTTAATGAGAAAAGTTACCAGTTTAAATAAAGCAAAAAAAAAAATGAAATTATTGCAATATTTTAAACTTTTTTGTTTTCAGAGCGTACAATCTAACTGTCCACATGCGAACTCATACAGGTGAAAAACCATATCAATGCACATACTGTGATGCGGCATTTGCGCAAGGCAACGACTTGAAGGCGCACATTAGGAGGCACACAGGAGAAAGGTTCCAATGTGACTTGTGTTCGGAAAGCTTTCTGATGGGGTATTTGTTGACCCAGCATAAAAGGACGGTTCATGGTGAGTTACAATTTTGATAGTTGATTAATTAAAACACATATATGTAAGTAGCAGAAAAATTAGTAAAGTAGATATCTTTTGAGTTGCTCATTTAGAAACTGAAATCTGAATTAAGAAAGTTAAAGGATTTCAATTTATACATTAAGTTGCATTATGTGGTATCGTCCCTGCTTTACGCAACAGTGGAAAGGAGTAGTGGGAATAGGATAGCAAAAAAAAGACATTGTTATTTATTCAGTCACGTTTTGACCATATAATTTGGTCTTCTTCAGGCTAACAATATGGTTTACATGCGAAATTGGTAATAAAATTAAAGAATTCAAAGGGAAAATAGACCTATCTATTTTACCAGACAAAGAGGTAATAATACGAAAACTTCATTAAATAAAAAAATGACACAGAACACTCATTGCGCAAGACGAAGCAAAACGTACCAAATTATGTTAGACTTACGTATAGCAATCCGTCTTTCTTATTTGCACAGGATAAAAAGGAAAGAAGAAAAATCGCGTGTTGTGCAACGTATTTGTCAATGAAAATGTCAAACAACTTTTGAATGACACTTGTCAAGCTGACTATCAACTTTCGATTTATTCTTGTCAAACCACGTGCAATGAACAAGGATAAAGAGATGCCCAGCGTGCAAAACGATCACCTCACACCTGTATTAGCTAGCCAATAAAAAGACATTGCCTCGTGTTGCGCGCGCATACCAGGTAAAAATAGATAGGTCTATTGAAAGATTTAAAAAATTGGTTAAGTACCCAAAACTCTAAGTAAATTTAAACTATTATGCATTTTAAATTGAAAGAATAAAAATTAATTTAACCATTAAAATATTGAGAAAAAAAAATTAAACTAATCTGTGGACATTTTGAAAGTTCAAGAAGAAAAAAGAAAAAATTAACAAACAAACAAGGGAAATAATGTAAGCAAAAACTACATAAACATTAAAATTATAGGGAGTCAACATACCTTCCAAATACATATAACGTCATTGCTAAAAATTCTAAAAAAGGTACCTGTCCCAAATAAGGCCACGTTAAGAAGTTTTATTTTTTCGTAACATAACCCAACAAAAATCACGAGGTTATATGTGAAGTTTTTTGCTTCCAATACTTGAATATTAACTCCAATTTATTTATTTTTTTATATAAGTGGTGGTTTTTGCGTAAAACAAAGACGCTTACCATTGGCCTTATTTGGGTCACTATGCTCCTAATAAGGCCACCGTTAAAAAATGTTTAAAATAAATACAATTATTCATGAAAATATTATTATTTGAGAAATAGTACACAAAATAGAACTTATACGTTTGCTGCATTCCTGGAAAAACAACAATTCCGAGTCCTCTGGAATGGTGATCCGAATAGGTCTACATACAACTAGGACAAATGAACTGCAGCATCTCAAAATACATCACTTAGGTAATAAAGTCCAACAAATACCATTTTTGTCGTACAGTCCCAAAAACAGATATTTTACGGACTCATGCAAGTCCGTAAAATGCTTCTTTTTAGGATTTTTTTTTCTATCTGGATGCACCTTTATAATTTCAAAAATTAAGGAAAATTTGCAAATTTTAGCGTTCTGAAGAATTCTAAAAAGCGTATGACAAAAAATAGTGTTTTTCTCCAAACGTCAAAAAAACGTCATTTTGTTAACCCCTGTCAAGATGTCAGAAATTTGATTTCTATGCTGCGAGGCAAATCCAGCGGGTTAACACCTGTCGAGGTGGTAGAAGTTTAATTTCTATGCTGCTTGGCAACCCCAGCGGCAGCAAAAGTACTTTTAGTGCCGCTTGTACTTTTACTGCCGCTCAACTATTCACTTGCCCCCGAGCTTACCCCATTAGTTTGGAGAAAAAATAGCGTGTTGCATACGGAGGAGAAGCACTTTTTTGTGCTTCAGCAGTATTGCAAAACCTACTGCTTCAGCACAAAAAAGTAAAGCTTCTACTCCTAATACAACAATATACTATTGTCACACGTACTTAAACGAAGTTTTCCGGGCTCATCTGCTATTCCTGACTCGGCTGACGCCTCGTCCGGAAACAGCAATGATTCGTCCTGAAAAACTTCATTTTAGGTACTTGTGACAAAAATAACTATTTAATGTCACATGATTTTTCTCTATCTCTGTTGAATACATCTCAAACAGCGGTGATAGTAAAATTGACAAAAAAATTGGTGTCTAATTATTGTTCATAAAATTCTTACCTGAAATAGAATCCGCCACTGTCATCAATTAGTTTGTCAAAGTTATTTTCGAAAATGCTCGCGTTCACCAGCACTCAACATGTTGAGTGATTAGTCAGCGGCTTTGTTGAAAACAGATGAAAATCAGCTCTTGGCCAATCAAAACTGTTCTACCTTGTGTATTCCACTTGTTGGAACAAAGCCGCTTACTAACCACTCAACATGTTGAGTGCTGTTGAACGCGACCATTTGATACAACGAACAAAAACCGCTAATAATTTTGACTATATTAACCTTTATCCAACTCGAAAAGAAGCAAATAGAAAATACCCAATTCAAGTTCAGAATGTATTACAAGGGGCAGCAGAAGCGACAAAAGTGAGTTTCGCAACAATTGCGAGTAAAATCTATTTTTTTTAAAAGATAAAAGTCAAAATGACATTCTGTTGGCAATACAATGTAAAATTGTCAATGCGTCCGATTTTTTTATGTAGAAAAGGCTTGTGCTGCCAACATAGTTAAAATGTGTTTTTTTTTTTAAAGATAAAAGTCAAAATGACATTATGTTGGCAATACAATGTAAAATTGTCAATGCGTCCGATTTTTTTATGTAGAAAAGGCTTGTGCTGCCAACATAGTTACTAAATTTTTGACTTGGGGAATTATCTTTAAAGAAAAAACAGGCTTTATTAAAATTCCCATCTGATTGGTCAATACTACTTCAGAAGCGCGTTTGTAAAATGCTAGTGGGAACATATCTTAAAATTCAATATTAATTAACCACCTATCAACGACATATGGTGCATTTACATCATTGAGGTAGATTTACATTCACTTCAAGGTCCAATTTGTCTTGAAATTGACGTGCTTGCCATATGGCGATAGCACAGATCTAAAATCTGTTTTTTTTTTAAAGATAAAAGTCAAAATGACATTATGTTGGCAATACAATGTAAAATTATCAATGCTTTCAAATTTTTTATGTAGAAAAGGCTTGTGCTGCCAACAAAATTTTTGACTTGGGGAATTATCTTTAAAAAAAAAAACAGACTTTATTTACATTGAAATAAATTTGAAGTTCACTTCGAAGTGCACTTTAAATTTGGGCAAGCTGCTTACCGAGGGCAAGCAAAAACTTGTGAAATGTCAAATTTTTAAATTATCCATCTGATTCTCATAAAATTCTGACGTTTTTACTTGACGTTTTTGTTTTGCAATGTAAATGATCAAATATCAAACGTCAAATTCAACTTGAAGTTCGAAGTGAATGTAAATGCTCCTATAATCAATGAATTTGTGATGTGAGGCAAATTGATCATTTTTCGCATGATGGCCTTTGTTTGTGCAAGTTTTATTATGTTTAAATTCTTAATTATTCGAAATAATGATTACGTTGCGCATGAACCATACATATTCATTATTGTATGACACCTCAAGGGTGCGCAAGCAAAAATGTGCGCAAGGAGTCGCTCTCTTACATTTTGGGCACCTAACTGGCGTGACTTAAATATTTTCAATCCGCAAAATTTACCAAAAGTCAGTGGCGATATCTCAAAAAAGGGTTCAAACCCCAATCGTGACGTGGTGCTGTAGCAGAACTAGAAAGGCCTGGGATCCCAGAGGAAAGAACGATTTTTCTATGACAGAAAATCAATCGAGGTGAGTGTCCTTTTATGATTTTGTATGGTTCCCGTCCATTCACATTCTTTGTCAAATAAAATAAAATTACAGTCCACTTTCAATTGATCGAAGTAAAATTAATCTCAATTTATTATTTTTTAAACTCTATTCTTACGCAAATATTTTTGGACCTTCGCGCCAAATTATTCACGAAAATTTAAAAAATTGTATTTTCAAAAAAGTCAATTTATTTCTTAAATAAATCGCCATTTTAATTCCTTCAATCCTTCCATAAACGAATCGGCAAGTGACGCAGCGCCAAAGTAGGAGCGCGCGCTGTCGATCAAATATTCACAAAATTCACACCTGTTTTATAGCAAAACTATTTTTAGTTATTTTTTTTATCGCGCCGGTGTGTTGTTTATAATAACAAAACAAAACATTCGTCGTTTTCGACTCAAAATTTCTCAAATCAATACTCAAAACCTAATTCAAAATCTAATCAAATCGGTGTTTAGTGCAACAGAGTGCAGAGTGCTTAGTTATTACGTGAAAAAGGGAATATTTCTAGGATTTAATACGTGCATCGTTACAGTCACTACATAAAAATGACCGAAGCACAACTTAAAAAAGCCGTGAAAAAACGGTTAGTTTCCATAACGCGCATATCTGAAACGTATACAGCTGCTGTCAAAGCAAAAACCGATTTGTCTCTTCATTCTATTTTCAAAACCAGGTATGAGAACTTAGAAGAGTTTTACGACGATTTCAAAAAATTGCATAATGACGTCATAGGTCTTATCGACACAGATGATGAATTTAAAGTTGAGGATCAAGTCAGAAAAGATACCGATAGTTTTTATTTTCAAACTAAAGATATTTTTAGTCAACTTTTCCCAAATCAAAATACTCCTCAAAATTATGTTTCAAATCCTAATCAAAATAGCAACCATGATTTCAAAGATTTACTAAAATTGGATGTTCCAATTTTCGACGGAAATTTGTTAAGATAGGTAACTTTTTACGATATGTATTGCTCCTTAGTGCATGATAACTCTAATATTGCACCAGTGCGAAAATTTCGACATTTAATTTCTTATCTAAGGGGAGAACCGCTTAATTTAATAAAATCGCTGCCCGTCACTGATAACAACTACAGGGTTGCCTTTCAAACATTAACTG